AGAATTCTTGTTGACAATGGAGCTGCTGTCAATGTGATACCCACTAGGATGTTAAGAAAATTGGGAAAGACTACAAGCGATTTGATTCCCACTGAGATCTTCGTTACTAGCTTCAATGGGGGATCAACATCAGCAAGAGGGATACTACCAGTCTTAATTGGAGTTGGCAGTCAAGAGAAAATGTCTGCCTTGTTGGGAAGGGATGGGATCCATGCCAACAAGTGTGTCCCATCCTCACTTCATTAGTGTTTGATGTTTTGGAATGAAGAATGAATGGTGGAGGTAGTACAACCAGATACCAACCCCTTTGCAATTGGTGCTAAAGTGGCCGAGGCTCCACTCTATCATGGAGACTTTGGGCCTCTACAAGTGAGGAGTATGGATGGAGGGTTGTGCACAGTGGTGATTTCAAGTGCTAAGATATTGAGCATGGCATGCCTCGACCCCCTTGTCGACATTGTGAGACCATCTATGATTTTTTTGGATGGTCCACCTAAAGCCGAAACGAGTATCAATGATGACCACTTCAAGACGAGGTGGTGGGCAAGGACAAAGTGACGACCTTGATGGAGAAGTTAGCCATCTATCAACGAGCAGAGGTTGATGGCTGACTGTGTGCCTGAAGATGACTTGCATGAATAAGGCGAGGTACTAGGTATAGCTGAAGAAGACCAAAGGCCTATGACGTCACGTGATGTGTTGGAGGAGATCAATCTTGGCACCGAGGACGACCCATGTCCTACTTTCATCAGTGCCATGCTCCCCGAAGCCGAGAGGTATGAGTTAATTAATTTGTTAAAAGAATTTAAGGACTGTTTTGCATGGGATTATCATGAGATGCCTGGCCTAGATATAAAGTTAGTAGAACAAAGATTACCAATTACTGTTGGTTTTAAACCCTTTAAAAAGTCGCCTAGACGGTTTGCTTATGAGGTATTGCTAGAGATTAAGAAAGAAATTGAAAGATTATTGAAGGCTGGCTTCATCAGGACAGCCAGGTATGTGGAGTGGTTATCCAACATAGTGCCAGTCAGAAAGAATAATGGCAAGATACGTGTATGTGTAGATTTTAGAAATTTAAACTTAGCCACTCCTAAGGATGAATACCCCATGCTAGTTGTGGACATGTTGCTTGATGCAGTAACTAGGCATAAGATCTTTTCTTTCATGGATTGTTACTCAGGATATAATCAAATCTACTTAGCCGAGGAATACATCCACAAGAGACCGCATTCAGATGTCCACGAGCCATAGGGTGCTATGAGTGGCTCGTCATGCCTTTCGGGTTGAAGAATGCTGGTGTCACTTACCAACGAGCCATGAATGCTATCTTTCATGACTTGATTGCTGAGTTGGTTGAGGTCTATGTGGATGACATTGTTGTCAAGTCAGTCAACACTTATCTCATCTTCGCATGGACCTCTTACGTACGAGAGGCCATAACTTAAAGCTAAATCCACTTAAGTGTGCATTTGGTGTGTCTCCAAGTGACTTCTTAGGGTTCCTTGTGAGCCAACGTGGCATTGAGGTTAATAAGAGCAAAACCAAGTCCATCATTGAAGCCATGCCACCAAGTAATAAGAAAGAGCTTCAAAGGTTCGTCGACCAAGTTAACTACATTCAACGTTTCATCTCGAACTGTGCTGGCCAAACCCAAGTCTTCTCTCCTTTGTTGAAGCTGAAGCAGGAAGATGAGTTTGTATGGCTTCAAGAGCATCAACAAACCTTTGATGACATCAAGAAGTACCTGGAAACCCCGGCGGTACTCAACTCTCCAATCCCACATCGGTCATTGAAGTTGTACCTTTCACCCACTAACACCTCTGTAGCGTGTCTGTTGGCTCAAGACAATGACTCTGTCCATGAACATGCCGTGTACTAAATAAGTAGACTGTTAAACGAGGCAGAACAATAGTACTCCCCTGTAGAGAAGTTATGTTTAGCCTTATATTTTTCTTGTATGAAGCTAAGGTACTACTTGATGCCTGTTCAAGTGCAACTCATATGTAAGACTGATATAATAAAGTACATGTTGTCCCGGGCAATCATCCATGGGAGGATTGGTAAGTGGTGCTCATCAAGTAGACCCTTCCATGAGATGGGTACTCCACTGGTATGGATACTACTGGTCATCCATAGGAGAAGATTGTGCCGCTTTTGCTAAGGGGTGTAAGGCTTGTCAATGACATGGCCCGGTGCAAAAATCTCTAGCCATTTACTTGAAGTATATCATCAAGACTCGACCTTTCATTGGATGGGCCATGGACTTGATTGGGAAGATTTATCCACCATCTTCTTATAGACATACGTTTGTCATCTGGGCAACTGATTACTTCACCAAGTGTGTGGAGGCCAAGCCAATGACAGTGGTTAATCAAGGAGAAATCATCAAATTCATCAAAGAAAATATAATACACCGTTTCGGCTTGCCAGCCACCATAACAGCTGACCAGGGTACCGTGTTCACGGGAGGGGAAGTGATGGCTTTTGTTAAAGAACACGACATCAAGATCATACACTCAACTCCTTACTACGCTCAAGGTGGTGAAGGGTATATTGTCTAAGGACTAAGATGATTGAAGATAACCCGAGAAAATGGCATGAAGTCTTGTAAGAATCCTTATGGGCTTATCGGATGTCACCACGTAGTAGTACAAAGATGTGTCCATGATGTTGGAGTTGTGTGATTTTGACGAACTCCAACTCAAAGCACTCGATAACATAAGGGTGCAGAAGGACAAAGTAGCTCGCTCTTACAACAAGAGGGTTAAGCACAAGGCCTTTGAAGAAGGAGAGATAGTCTGGAAATTACACTTACCCATTGGGGAAAAGGATCCCATGTTTGGCAAGTGGTCTCCCAACTGGCGTGGACCCTCCATTGTCTATGCGACCCGGCCCAATAGGGCCTACTTGTTAAAAGTCTTAGATGGTGTGTTTCGTGATCGATTGATTAATGGTAAGTATCGCAAACCCTACGTCCCTTCTCTTTGGGATGTGGGTTGTTAACTGGTTCAATGTTAGCAGGCCACCACCGTGGCCGACATGCCAAGCCTCCCACACACTAAGGCATGACATGGTGCCCTCATGATGAAGCATGGCTTGAGTAGATAGCCATAACATGGAGGGTATAGTGAGATAAAAGAATAACATTGATAGTGGAGACGGTGAAGCCAAGTAGATTGTTACACACTTCATTAATAGAATGTAAATTTATAAGACAATGAAAAGAACATCCCGTCAGGGGCAAGCACTAATAGGCCCAGTCATCTGAATACCAATAGAGGAAAATAAAAGCCAAATCCATGGCTAAGCCGAATGTCTTAAATTCATAAGAGCGAGCCAACAAAAAAAAATAAAGTATGGATGATTTAGCCAGACATGTGGGAGAGCCTCTTTGACAATATCTCGCATCTTGAGGAAGGTAGCAAGATGAGTGTTGTATACGAAGAGGGCTTGGTCCTTCTCGTGAGCTAGGTGTGCCATTGACACGCTAAAACACAACACCAAAATGCGACCAAGTGTAATCGCAGAATGGAAATGCAGTAACAGACAAGCTCGAATTGTCAACCCGGGGTCTAGATCTACTGCCTACTCCGTGTATATCTGTTATCTATCCAACTAAGTTGAGTGATTGTGATTTTAACTAAAAGCAGTAAGAAAGTAGGAAATGGTTCGGTTTTCTGAATCAAAGGAAGAGTCACTCGGGAATGAGTCCCCGTAGCTCCTTAGTTAGGTCTCAGTTGTAATTAACCTGGGTTGATTTACTGTTGATTAAACTGCGGAAGATCCGACAGTAGCTTGGAATCTCTTAAGCTGACCAAGCCCTCTCAGTCCAACTACCCGGTAGACGACTAGTCTTCACCGGAATAGAAAGCTGAGACTATGAACACAGAACTCCACTACTGGAATTAGATTCCAGTACAAAGTAGTGAATCGACTAACTCTCGTAAAATCGATTCACTACTACCGATTGAAGAAGCTCTAACAACCTAATCAGATTCTATCTATCTCAGGTTGCAGCAGAAATCAATAAAAGGTGATCAGACTTCAATTGACTCAATCAAAACACTTCAATCGATTATAATCAAGCAATATCACAATCCAAACGTAATTACAATCAAGATTCCTAACACATGGAACTAGGGTTCTTCATACCCAAGTGAGAGAGGGTTCTACTCCATAGAGAGAGAGAGTAAAACAACAAACAAAGCAGTCATACTCATCAGGATGGGAAGAATCTGCTTTGGGATGATGATCTTCACTCCAAGGATGATTTCCAAGCTTGATTGATGAAACCCAGCTCCAAAACCACTCTTAGGGGGTGTTCTTCGCACTTTCTCTCTCTAGGGCTCTGTTTTTGCTCCAAAAAGTCGACGCACTCTCCTTTGGCTCGAATCTGCCTCAAAACCCCGATTCTGGGCGAATTAAGGGCTGAATTACGGTCGTAATTATGGTATGCCTGTAAATCTCCCAAAACGCGCGTTTTACTCAACTCTGAGGAAGGGAATTACGGTCGTAATTACCCAATTACTGCTAGTAATTATGGAATTACGACCGTAGTTACTTTGACTCTTGCCCGTAATTGTCTCTGCGACAAGAATTCTGAAGAATTAGGCTCGGCATTGCATTTACGGGCAAGACAGGAGCAATTGCGACCGTAATTGGTCAGGGTCCGCCAGTAATTCTTCCTCCGCCCCTGTTCAATGCTTCGTTTCTCCCTCGTCCGGACTCCAAATCAGTCGCCGTTTGATCCCAAATGCTCGTAGTCTCGTCCTCTTTCTTTTCATGACAAAATTCCATGATTATTTGTCTATAATATTTGGTAGAAGTCCATTATTCCTCAGGCCATGCTCATGTTTCTTCTCCCGAATTGCCAAATGATCTCTGATTGACTTGAAACTTGCGCCTATGCTTCAATTTACATGCTAGGACCTGAAATGTGACAAAGGAACACAACCTAGCGTAAAATAGTCGGCCAATGGATTCTGCTCGCCGACGTTTCAACCCCCTTCTCCCCAGGCAGCAAAACCCTGCATGTTCCAGCGACAGCCGGACGGGTGGAAACCCCGAGTAACTACAAAGCTGGGAGGTCCGATGAGGACGACGAGCTTTGAGGGACGATGATGAAATGCGGCGACCTTCTTCCTCGACGGCGATGACGCAGCTTGGAGGAGGGACGACGACGAACTTGGAGCGACCTTCTTCCTCAATAGTGGCGACGAGCAACGAAACAGATTCTCCTTCCTCCTTGATTCGGCGGCGATTGGTCGCGCAAAGGGTGGTGAGCTCCGATGGAGTTGGGTGGAGTTACAGGGCGACATATGATTTTTTGGTTTGTAGGGCGGCAGACTCTGTTTCTGGGAGGGGACAAAGGAAGGGGAAGGGGGAAGAGAGTTGGTAGGGGTTTTGGTAAAATAGTCTATTCGAATACTGAAACGCTATTTGTCGCCCTATATTTTAAAAAAATTCGCCCTAAACCATACTGATTTGACGTTTCTACCCCTAACTCCAATCTCTCTAATCCCTAGTCCCTACCTCCTTGTGTCCCGCCCACCAGCCGATTGCCAGCTGTCGCTGCCATTCCCCAAATCCTCCGCAGCTCCCATTTCCATAACCCCCCATCGTTCTATCTCCGCTGCTGTCGCTGGGATCGGGTCCCCGCTGCTATTCTTGTTGATTTCTAATCTTATCCCGGTCCTCGTCAGTCCTTTCTCCATTAGTTGATATAGCCACCGAAACCTATTTCATCATCGACGAAAGGATTCCCCTTGACGCCGGCGCAAGTTCGACAGAACAAAAGAAGACTCGCGGTTGACGAAATGATTCCCCTCGCCGTTAGAGCATTTCCACCGGAATAGAAGCGTGGAATTGGCGGATAGAGTAAAACTTTCCGCTCATTGAAAAAGAGCAAATCTTTCATAATTTTTTCGTTGAATAAATCTTTCATAATTGTAGTTGATTAATTTAATATTTAATTAGAAGAGATAGGATGGAACATAATATCAGAAATAGAAGATTGTTTTTTTGCTGAAAAAGAAGAAGAGATGGAGGATTGAACGAGTAAGATGAACGGAGAAAGAATAATAAAAGAAAAAATAAGGTAAAAGAAATAAATTAAATACTTTTTTTAGAATTTAAGATTGAAAGACAAAATAATAAACTAAGAGAATTAAAGTAAACTTACCATAATTAGGGCGACAAATAAGAATTTTTAGGGCGACGAATAGCAATCCCCTTCAAACAAGTTTAGGGCGATAAATTCAAATAATTAGGGCGTCAAATAGAAATTCAGTTTCATTCGGCAAGATTTAGCCGTACCGCGATTTACCCCAACATTGTGGCGAGGAGCGAGCAGGTGTCCCCTTTTTTTCTATACAACCAAGGTTGTCAACTCGCGGGCCGACCCGCGGGTCGATCCACTTTGACCCTGTCCCGGTGAGAAAAACGGGACGTACGCACCCGCCAGGTTGACCGCTATAATGTACCGGGTTGGAGGTCAAATTGTGTCATTTTTTCTTTGGTTTGTGAAATACGCTTATTTTCCGATTTTTCTTTTCGCCTAACTCAATCTTTGGAATCCTAAGTTGAACATTTTAATATTGATGTTATATAAGTGTGTATGAATTTTCAGTATATGTTGGATCTAAGTACGATATGTTATTTTGGTGGAATATTATATGTTATAACTCATATGTTAGATGAAATTTAATATAATTTATCAGGATAAGTACAATATAATTATTCTTTTCATATTTCCGGACTAAACCGAGCCTAAAACGGGTTACCCATTAACCCTTGACCTACTAGCTCGACCGGATCCAGGTTAGCCCGGGTTGACAAACTTGTATACAACTTTGCAACTCCAACAATCTCCCACATCATTGTTTTGGCTCGATCGAAAAGGAAGATTCCCTTTGTCTTTAGGGAAAAACTGTGGCTGTTGTCCGAGAATGGTAATTAGAGGACCTAGCCAACTTTAAGTTAGAAATAGGACTGTTATGTAATAGTTCTTTACTTTCTGTACTTAATAGGAATTTAGCCTTTGTATATATATTGGCTATGTAATTGACGTGGGAATTTCCCCCAATTAATTCAATAAAAATCTGCCGACTTTTCTGTTTGGTTTATCTCCTTCCTCGGCGGTGCTCTCTCCGATCTATAGCTTCCACCATCTCTGGTAGGTAACATGGTATCAGAGCAAAATCTTGCTATTCTTGATCGGAAATTTTCCCCTTCGACGAGTTTCCAGGTAGTATGAAACATCTGGGTTCTCTTTCCTTACTGCGTCGTCTTTCATTTTGCTGCTATCGGTTCGGCAATCTGTCTTTTCTATCGTTTCGATCGATTCATTCGATGGACGATTTTAACTTAGTTCTTATTTTCCGCTGCTTCTAACTCCTTGGGTCGTTCGAGTCTCTCGACTAACAGGTTCTCTGTATTATCTCTGCTTCGATCATCTCTCGTTCGTCTTCTCTATTTTGTATCAGAAACCCTAAAAAAAAAAACTTCCCCGATTCAGTATTATCTCAATGTAGTCGCCATTTAATGTGTTACTTCTCAGTTTGTCGCTCTACTCGACGAATCTGTAATTCTTTGTTCGTTTGTCTGCTTTATCAAGCTTTGGTTTCAGTAGTTGATCCGTTTTCCGAATTTCCAAGGAGAGTGAATCATATTGATTCCTTCCTCTTCCTGCCTCGAGTTTTCTTGTTTTCGAGATTTCCAGGAGAGCGAATCCTATTAATTCCGGGTACGGAGGTGTTGTTATACTAACAACATGATTCATTAAGGGTATAAGGGTAAATATATTCATATATTTAATAAAATAAAAATTAAATTAATATTTCTCATTTTGATCGAATAGGACGAGTGGGTGATCTCCCGAGTGTTTCAGAAGTTCGGCGTGGGTGCTGGCGGGAATGGCTGCACGGCGAGTAACAACACCGCCCCCACCTCCTCCGCCAAGAAGCCGCGCTCCACCGCGGCGATGAGCAGCGGCAGCAGCGCTTACCAGGAGATGAGCTCGCCGCCCTCCGCCGTCTCGCACCTCCCTGCTCTCCTCTACCCCACCACCGCCGACAGCTACTCCTACGACGGTGGCGGCGTCGGGCGCCACAACCAGCAGCAGCACGTGTCCTGTTATTCTCCCCTCCTCTATCCCCTCTCCAAACAACCAACTCTCTCTCTCTCTACCGGCCATCGGGAAATCTCAACCGCCGGCCAAAGCCTCCATTCTATTCCCTCGCTTTTGTGATAATATCACCGAAATGGCTATTACAGGAAGAGATATAGATCGAATCAAAGGTCCATGGAGCCCCAAGGAAGACGACAAGCTCCAGCGCCTCGTCGAGAAGCACGGCCCGCGGAACTGGTCGCTGATCATCAAGTCGTCCCGAGCTCAATTAGAACGATCATCATCACGAGCTGAATTCTTCTTCTGTTCTCAAATAGTATCATCCATGAAACCCTTCTTCCACACCATTATTTTCCTGCTGCCCCACAGGAACGGACAGCTACAGAAGATCCAGATAGATCAATTAGCTTTTGCCTATACTAGGTTTTTTTCTCCTTTCTTGGTGAACAGTCTTCCTTATACTATAATTAGGTCATGAAACAAGACACTACATTTACACAAGTATATATAGTACTACTACTGAATCACGCATTCATACATCTACACAAAAATAGTACAAGAAAGCAGACGTATTCACATCGGGTAAATGATGTATCAAAAGCATCCTAATGTAGAACATAAGTCTCGTGAAGCAAAACATAAACACCACAAAGTGAGCCATAAATATTTTTAAATCACACAAAAAACCTTATTATACAAACCATAACTCTCCTAAAACAAACCAAAAACACCACAAAACACACTAGAAACTTCATAAAACAAACTACAAACACAGTAAAACAAACCATAAAAAACATACCAAAAACCTCTCAACGCATGTCACAAATTCCCTAAAACAAACCAGAAACATCACAAACCAAACCACAAATATTTTGAAAGCACACCAGAAAACTCATAACGCAAACCATAAACATCGTAAAGCAAACCACAAAAACAAACCAGAAACGTCCTAATGCAGACCAAAAATATATTAAAACAAACCAGAAACCTCACGAAACAAACCATAGAATTTTCAAAAACACACTAGAAACCTCATAATACAAACCACAAACACGTTAAAGCAAACCACAAAAACAAACCAGAAACCTCCTAATGCATACCACAAATCTCCTAAAACAAACCAAAAACCCCACAATGCAAAACACAAATTTTTTGAAAGCAAACCAGAAACTTCTCAATGCAAACCATAAACACGATAAAGCAAACTAGAAACTTCTCAATGCAAACCACAAACACAATAAAGTAAACCACAAAAGGCATACAAAAATGTGTGAAACCAAACCATAAATCTCACAATGTAGACCATACATCCGGTGGTCGTTGACCGTTGACTGGTCAACGAAGACCGTTGACCGGTCAACGAAGTTCGTTGACCAAACTCCGATGACCGTCAGTGACCGGATTCTGGCGCCGATAAGCATATTCCGGCCCCGGTGACTAGATTCCGATGCCGGTAAGTATATTCCGACGCCGGTAAGCATATTCCGGCGACGGTGAGCATATTCCAATGACAAAATAGCATATTCCGGCGACAAAAAAGCATATTCCGGTGACCGGCGACCATATTTCGGCGATCGGTGACCGAATTCCGGCGACCAAATTTTTGGGCAGAAAATAAAAAAATATTTTTTTTATTTTTTTTTATTTTCATAATGACAATTATACCCCTATTTTGATTTTACACTAGGTCAACTCATCTAATAAAAAGTCATCACAATCCTAGCTTCCTATTGGTTGGGAACTAGTGTTGTTACAATAACAACATAAAAAGTGTTGTTACACTATCTAGTCCCCTCTTCTTGCCTTGAATTGGATCGAATTTTTCTTTGATCAATGAGGGGAACGAGGTCAGGATCTCAGATGGCAATGGTCCAATGGGCTTGGCTTGTCTTAACTGAGTAGAAATCACTTTCTCTCAAGTGTATTTTTTTAATCACACCTCCTGCCTAGGTCTTTAATGTGTGAACTGCCAATGAGGGGAACAACCATGTTTGTTTTGTTTCCTTCCTTCATTGTAAAATCTCTATGCCTGAGCTCCTTGTTGTCGATCTATCTTATAATTTTCCTGTTATTAATGGATTTTGTTCCATCCCATCGAGTTTCCAAGAAGTGTGAATCAGCTTGATTCGTTTCCTTCTTGCCTCGTTTTAGATGCCAATTTTCTTCCATCCCACCGAGTTTCCAAGAAGTGTGAATCAACTTGATTCGTTTCCTTCTTGCCTCATCTTTGGATGTCGATTTTCTTCTTTCCAATCGAGTATCCAAGAAGTGTGAATCACCTTGATTCGTTTCCTTCTTGCCTCGTTTTTATATTTCTCTATTACCGATCTGGTTGAGCTTTCACAGAGCGTGCCTCAAAAGAATATTTGTTGTTCTTGATTAATAATTCTTTCTAATTCGAGTTTCTGGAGAGTGTGAATCTTATACATTCATTATTCCTCCCTCCCTCGCTGTTTTCTTTCTTGATTTTCCAATCAATCGTGTTTGAAGTTTGGAAGATCATATTCAATGATTCAGTTTATCTCCTCTGAGGTGATCGGTAACATTGTACTTTTCTGTCTCCCAATCAATTGCCTCTGCTATCTAGTTTGTTTAAGTTAAATGATTGATGTTGAATTATAGATTTTGGTTGTTGTGAAAAGCAGAGAGTGTGGCACTCTGATATTGCTTGTTGTCAAAGTGTTTCATATTCCTACAACCATACTGCCGAAGAATTGATCATTGTTATGGCTTCTCTTGTTGGATTTCCATACTGATTTTTGTGTGATACCCTACTGTCCTCTGTTTGCATTTCCTTGTTGAGTTAAAAACTTGGAATCTCTCATTCCATGTCCTCTCATTTGATTCAATATTCGTTTCCCCTTATGCCTATTGTATTAAACATAATTTAGTTGTCACATGCGTTGTCAATTGGATTCCACTGATTTGTTATGTGTTAATCAATTTGCCATGGCTTCTCTGCTCGCACTCACCATTTAGCATAGCCACATTTATCTTCAATGTAATAGTTGTCACCTCTGGAAATGTTTTCAGGAATGATATGATTACTTGAAATCCCAGAACATTGTTCTGCTTAACTGTCAATTGACATCCCCTCTATTCAACTTACATTTTGTGATGGAGTACATATTTCGATTGCTAAAATTGCAAAGCATATAAGTTGAGCTGCTTCTCAGCCTACTAATTGCTTCTTATCATTCTTTATCTTGTTTTCTTCTCTCTATGACACATCTTGCAAGTTGAAAGTGTATATATTTAGTTGGCAAGACTTCAGGTAGAATTGGATGTACTCTTGCAAGGCAACTTGAATGTGCTTTGATATTTTGATGGCCTGTGCTGTGTCATCATGAATGCTACATTCTGTGTTTGCAAGTTGCAGAAGAATTTTTTATTTACAGAGAACTGAAATCATGTTCTTCATTTTTTTTTAATTAGTGAATTTTGTTAAGAATCTCTTATTCTAGCATGATTTTGCTACCGTGGTGGATTTAGACACTGCTTTCAATTAATTGGTCTGCTAATTTGTGCTTATTTCATTCCCATAACTTCCTCCTTTTCTTGGTTATCAGCAATGAAGCAATTTGCCTTGTATCTGTTTGGTTTTGTTCTATGGAAATGAAGTCCATATCATTCCTGGACTCTGATATTTTCAAATACTATATCTTATCTCCTACTAAAGTTGTGAACCAAGCTCCTATAAGGAATTGTAATTCGAGGACCTAGCTGCAACTTTTAGTTAGAAATAGGACTGTTATGTAATGGTTCTTTACTTTGTGTACTTAATAGGATTTTAGCCTTTGTATATATATTGGCTATGTAATTGACGTGCGAATTTTCCCCAATCAATTCAATAAAAATCTGCCGACTTTTCTGTTTGGTTTATCTCCTTCCTCGGCGGTGCTCTCTCCGATCTAGCTTCCACCATCTCTGGTAACAGTGGTTGTTTGCCCACTTCACTAAACACCGGCGTTGGTCGGCCAACTACATGAACCCCACAACAACAACAATAACTTCGTTGCTTGGTCAAAACCAATTTCATATTGGTTCAATTTTGGCTAGTTTGTTTCGACTCAAACAACATCGTTTTGTTGTTTCTTTCTTCTACACCCGTGTTGCAACAATTTCCTCTTTTGTTTCAACCATGCAACACCGCCTGCTCCAAGCTTCAATCTCACTTACCACGAGCTAGTGACCAAGTTGGCGAACGCTGCTTTACATGTGATGACCACTCCTAATAGAGTTATAACTAGGGATGGCAACAAAACCCGAACCCACGGGTACCCATCCGACCCAATCCAGTCAACGCGGGTAAAATTCATGTTGACGGGTTTTGAGTCGGGTTTGGGTTTAAACTCGTCCACTATTCATTGGGTTGGGTTGGGTTTGGGTTTAGGTAAACCCGGTCCATGGGTACCCGCCCACACCCATATAGTTAATTTTCTCGATATATTTAATATTCTAAACAACTAATCTATTTATGTTTGTGGACATTTCTAATTTTTTCTTTCTAATTGTGTAGAATGAAGTTTTTTCCCTTAACTTTTTTTTTCACAAAAAAAGTTGATGTTATCGAGTGGAGAGTGAAAAAAACTTAATTGAAAGGAAGAAACTTTTAATTAATCATATTATTTATGGATAATTTGTGATTTGCTTCAATTTTCTTGAGTTTTCTAGATTGGTGTTGAACGATTTGTATAGTTAATTTGTGATTTGCTTGAATTTTCTAGAATGGTGTTTTATGTATGGATAATTTGTATTGAGGGATTGATATTTGATTTTAATTTTGATAGGAACTTGTTATTTTAAATTTTTTACGACAAAAACCCATGGGTACCCATGAACCCGCGAATACCCGGCGGGTTGGGTTGGGTTGGGTTTGAGTTTTTCAAACCCAGCGGGTTTTACCCCGGGTTTTTTTGACGGATAAACCCATGGGTTTGGGTTTAGGTTTGGCAAAATTCGACCCAACCCGACCCATTGCCATCCCTAGTTATAACCAACACTTTATTTATTTATTTATTTTATATTGGCTAAATTACACGTTTGGTCACTCAAATTATAGAAATCTTTCACATTTGCCACCCGAATTATTTTTCTTTCTTATTCGCCACTAACTTTACGAATCGTTTCACCGTTAGTCACCGACCGTTACACTCCGTTAATTTTGTCCTACGTGGCAGTCAACTATAAAGTTTGACCGTTAATTAGATGACGTGGAAATTAAAAGAATTAAAAAAATAAATTTATTTTTCCACCTCTTTATTTCAAATCTATTATATTAATTATTTAATAAAAAATAATAAATGATAAATAATAATATGATAATTAATTAATTTTTTATCATATTCTTGACGGACGATGGGAGGCGCCTTTCTGATTAATTAATTTATTTTTTTATCATAATATGATAATTAATAAATGACACTATATTTGGATTTCGATTTCCATTTGGGTATGACAATTAGGGTTACAATGCTGGTTGCGCCTTTCTTAACGGCGTCGGAGGCTGTTGTGGTTGAACTGATGAGGGAATCGAGGCGATGGTAGAACTGCAACTTTGACGGAGGTGGTTTGGCCTTCTCGATCTTGTACTTCTTCTTCAGCGTGTCTATTCGGTGTTTGGACTGCGCCACGAGTTGACTTCGTCGGCGACTTCTTTCCAGTCCTTCTGGCGGAGGTTTTCGCCTTTGACGCTGACGTAGCGATCACCCCACGCCTTGATTAGCGATTCTGCGGCGCCTTCGCTCCAGCAGTCTTCCCGACCACTGTTGTTGCCGCCGCCGCCGCAGGTGCGAGAACGGGAGGTTGAGGGTTCCATTTTTTAGGAGGGGGAAAGGGAGTAGCAGAGATATCAAGTTTGATAAAGTGCATTGGGTTGCCGAAGCAAACAAGTAGGGGAGGCCAAGTTCCTTTGTCAACAGTAGCACTTTGCACAAACCCAGACAGTACATGGAGAAAGCTCAGGAGCGGAGTTGGTGTCGTGGCCGGCGGCGGGGGAGAGGAGGTTGAGGAGGAAGAGGAGTAGCGGAGTGTGATGGTGGTGGTGAGGGTCATGATAAATAAATAAAAATAAATAGTTTATCATATTATTTTTTATTTTTCTTAGATACTTAATATGATAAATTTGAAATGATGAGGTGAAAAAATATATTTTTTTAATTTTTAAAATTTCTACGTCATCTAGTTAACGGTCAAACTTTATAGTTGACTGCCACGTAGGACAAAGTTAACAGAGTGTAACGGTCAGTGACTAACAGTGAAAATATTCGGAAAGTTAGTGGCTAATAAGAAAGAAAAGTAATTCGGGTGGCAAACGTGAAAGATTTGTATAATTTGAGTGACCAAATGTGTAATTTAGCCATTTTATATTTAACATAACTTGGCTATTATTCCCAACAATGTGGGCTAGACCAAAAAGGTAAAAAAAAGGGTAAATTGTAAGTTTGGTCACTAGAATTGCTAAAAAATTTCACGTTTGCCACCAAAATTAGTTTATTCCACTCATAGTCACTAAAATTAGTTCAACAATTCAAGTTTGGTCACTCTCCGTCAGTCTCCGTTAACTTTTGTTGATGTGGCAGTCAACTCAGAGAGTTGACCGTTAAATAAGTGACGTGGCAATTAAAAATAATTAAATTTAATCTTTTACAATTTCCACTTCACTATAAAAATAAATAAAATAAAACTAAAAATTAATTATAATTATCATCCTCGGCTGCCAGCTCCACATCTTCGCTGCTTCTCCGGTCCCAAGCAAAATTTCTCTGAGTCATCGATCGACATCCAAAGCAAAAAAAAAAAAAAAAATAACTGTTACGAAAAAAATGAAGTGGCAAGAACTCCATCGCCGATAACCATACAAGTTCCAATCAAAGTTAGGCCGAGCAGAGCTTTCTGCAGAAGCTTACTCTTCTCCAGAGCAGATTTCTAGCTGGACGCCTGGACCCAGTTCGATTTTGGAGATTTGCAGCGGACCCATCTTTCTTATACTCGGAGAGCTCCTTATCTGCGAGCTGGAAATTGGGGAAAGCAGCAAGATTGGCATGGCGCCATAGCAGAGAATACAGAGTAATAGTGACACCTTCACCATTATCATCAGCTCTAAGCACAATGAAGATGCAGAAGTGGGATTATCGTGACGTCTAGAAGACGAAAGATAGAACTCCAAAGCTCTCTTCATTGGTATCGGAGAGCTCGATGTCCTCTGCAAATGTGCTCAAATCTCCATAGACTATCCCTAAGCTCTAGTACGCCAAGGTCAAGACTGCATTCCATGAATTCCTCTGCCAAAACCAAAATCCCAGAAATTAACCAATTTCAAATCATATAGGCACGTACATTGAAGAAGACACAAACCTTATTGGGTTATCAGTAATTGCTGGTACGCCTTCGTTAGGCTGGGGAATGAATGGAACAGAACAAAGTAGTAGTACAGAGAAAGCTGAAAGTCCATTTCCCTCTTTTGGAGGAGACAATGATAATAATGAAATGGTGGAAGGAGAAAGCTATACCCAGATGGGCGAATGTCAGGGACAGGGACGGGTTCGACTTGAAGGTGGGCGTGAAGTAGATGGTGAAATTGGCGTTGCATTATTCGGGGGGGGGGGGGGGGGGGGGGGGGGGGGGGGGGGGCTTCCCCAACAGAGGTGTCACGGCGAGGCCGGGGAGTCGAGCGCCTGTCGGATAGATGTCGAGATTAGGTCTTTGACCGGAGAAGAAGCGAAGATGTGGAGCTGGCAGTGAAGGTAAGGGAAGGAGCGTAGGATGATAATTATAATTATTTTATTTATTTTTATACTGAGATGGAAATTTTTTTAATTTAATTATTTAATTATTTTTCAATTGCCACGTCCCTTATTTAACTGTCAACTCTCTGAGTTGACTGCCACATCAGCGAAAATTAACTGACACTAACGGAGAGTGACCAAACTTGAACTGTTGGACTAATTTTAGTGACTATAGATGGAATAAACTAATTTTAGTGGCAAACGTGAAACTCTTTAGTAATTCCAGTGACCAAACTTGCAATTTACCAAAAGACGTTGCTAATAAAACTTGACAGTTTTGCCATACATCATTGTTCAATTAGCCTTGACAACAATGAGGCGGCCAACGCAAGATTGTTCTGATGCCTTTTAATTACTTTGCATTTTAAAAAAATAAACAAACCACTGTCTCGCCCAAAGGGAAATAATTAAACGGCAGCCCACAAAGCTGCTCAAGCCATAAACAGCCATGTTTAGTCTTTTGTTCGCTTTGTCTTAGACAAAACGGTGTTGCGGCCAAGTTACCGCATTGTTGTTCACCTCAAAGACTACGGTGTTTTACCGTACTTTTCCCTAAAAAGGCAGCACTGCTTGGCCATTTTTTTTTTGTCAAGACTCAAGACCAGTACTTCATTTACTTCAGCAGCGTTGCGGATCCAACAACATTGTTGAGAAGAAGAGAAAAATAAAACGGTATCGCTAGAGCAGCTCCGCTTCACCGCATGGGTAAAACGGCCGTGTATCTTCTCTACGGAGACCAAAATGTTTCCTACTCTAATTGTTTCCTCTCCTATGGCACCATGGCTATTGGCTAACAAGTAACAACGACAAAAAGCAAACCAAAACCATCCTTACACCATTGTCAACAACATTGCGGCCTTTTATTCACCATGCCGCTTGACAATATTTTTTTTTTGTACAAAATATATCATGTGGCTTACATTAGCCATCTTTTATTTAGTTTACTAAAAGCTAAATAAAAACAAAGTTGATTTTGGCATAAATCATCATGCGAAAGGTCCACACCCATTGTCAACTCCACAAATCAAACCAAGCAAGCCATCAGTAAATCCATGACTCATCCCATCTGGCTTCACATACGTTGGTTTTGATGTTTTGGAGTCAATGTTGGCTTGCAACTCTCTAGTTTTTCCAGCTAGAACATCTTTGTTCGGAATCCCACGAGCTCGATTTGGCTTCACCTCGCCGATGGCATGAAAAATCACTAGTGTTCTGATAAAAACTCAATTCTTGGGATTTATCATAATAATTATTATTACTATAATTAGGATATTACTAGATAGGGATGGTAAACGGTAATCCGGAAAACGGTTTAACGTTTTACCGAACCGTTTACCGGCGGTATCGGCAGTCGAGCGGGAAGTTGGTGGAGTCGGTTACCGGACACGGTATCGGTGAATACCGACGGTAAATTGGTATTACCGATACCGAATCCCCCCTCCCTACTCCCTAGTGCTTCACTGCGTTTTGTTGCTTTACCCCCAAAAATATAAAATATTACATACATGAATGTAAGTATAGGCCTAAAAAATATTGTAAATAAGAGTTAATAATAAATTATTAATTACAAAAATGATGAAAAAAACTCAAAAAAATCAAAATATTACAACATCACCCCTCTTACAGAAATTCGGTTCGGTAAATATTCGGTAAATCGACCGAAAAACCGCCCGAAATCGCTTCTCACGGTATTTCGGTAATAATGGTTTGTAACCGTTTACCGGTAATTCGGTAAACGGTAAACCGGTTACAAACCGGTATCGCTAATCGGTAACCAGTTTGGCCAACTTCGGTATACTGAAACCGATAAATTCGGTAAACGGTAAATTGTTTACCGACCGAATCCCACCCCTATTACTAGATATGGTAGTAGTCATTGAGTCATATTAGGATAGTCTATTAGGTTTTTTGAGTCTTTCGTTATCATTATGTACTTAGCGTTTTATCCAGAGTCAGTCAAGAAGAATATTAAGAAAAGAATCTCCTAAACCCTATTCTCCCAATCCTCTCAATTCTCGTTCCCAATCCCTCTAAGGCCTAGGCCGATTCTCTATCTTTCTCTTCTCAAAACCCTAATCATGTTCTCTGATCCCTAAATCCCAATGCCACAATCCGATCGATAGAATCCCTAACACAGGTTCTATCATTTGGTATCAGAGCCAATATGAGCTCATCAAGGCTCTCCGATCTGGAATGGGCTCGCGTACGACAGCAGATTGAGTACACGCTAGCCGAGCTCAAAAAGGAGGCACGTGACCGTGGGTGGGCTGCGACGGCGGCGACGGAGGAAATTCCATCCGCGGGGTCGGGAGAGAGGCCAGCCACGACCCGGTGGGAAGGCGCAGCGGCGCTGTCGGTGTCAGAGGGCGTTGCCACTTGGTGCGCGGCGGCAGGCGAGCTCGAGGGAGCTTCGGAGGCCGGTGGCGAGGATTCTCGCCAGGCGGCGGATCCCATGGCGGCGGTGCTGTCTAGTTGGTCGCCGAAGGAGACGTCGACGACCTGGAAAATGAAGGCCAATACAAGGCCGGAGTCGGGTTTCGCTCCCCGCTGCCTGGTGCCCTGTTCGCCTTGAGGAAGAAGATGGCAGAGGCGGTGGCGAAGAGGATTTTCGGCATCTCTCTCGCGAACCCTAGGTCGTCCACTCTAAGCAGCGCATCGGGCTGGGTCTGGTCGTACCAGGCGAGTGGGCTGAAGTTGGGGGAGGGTCGGGCCTCATCTAGTGCCCTCGCAGGCAAGCTAGCAACAGTTGAGGGAAAATGGACAGGCTTGGCAAGGAGTAGTGGGCCGCGAGAAAGTGGGTCGAGAAACCCAAATGAAGTAGTGGGTTTAATTCCCAAAACTAGGCCTCGAACCTTGGAGAGCAGCGGGCCAATAATGGGTGGGCCGACTTGAGCTCTTTTGTGTGTGGTGGACTTAAAAGAAGATGGATTTATTGAGTTGACATGTGGGCTCCCAATTCATGGGCCAGCTCCAAGAAAAATGTTCGAAGGTCTTGATGAATTGGTTCTTAAGGATAGGTTCTTGTGCTATAAAACACATTCGAATTCCTTAAACTACTGGATCGTGGATCCAACAAAAGAGGAGTTGTTGGGCAAGGAAGCAAAGAATCCTTGGAATCAATGTTCCTTGACCAGTTCACAAGAGTAATCGCAAGATTGACGGTGCGAGTCCTCACACCGAATTGGAAGAAAAGGAAGCGGAAGAGACGGAGGAGACGACACCTGGCTGGAACGAGACGAGTTGAGGAGCGGGACAAGTCGGTCAACCTTGAGGACAAGGTTGGTCTCAAGGGGAAGGGGATGATAGAAACTCAATTCTTGGGATTTATCATAATACTTATTATTATTATAATTAGGATATTATTAGATATGGTAGTAGTCTTTGAGTCATATAAGGATAGTCTATTAGGTTTTTCGAGTCTTTCGTTATCAATATGTACTTAGCATTTTATTCAGAATCAGTCAAGAAGAATATTGAGAAAAGAATCTCCCAAACCCTATTCTTCCAATCCTCTCAATTCTCGTTCCCAATCCCTCTAAGGCCTAGGCCGATTCTATATCTTTCTCTTCTCAAAACCCTAATTATGTTCTCTAATCCCTAAATCCCAATTCCACAATCCGATCGATAGAATCCCTAACATAGGTTCTATCATGTTCTTTGCTCTCGGCAAGACATTCACATTTTTTTGCATCTTTGTCTTGCCAAGTCAACCATGCGGCATCTTACTCGCACGGAGCTACACCGCGAATTAATCCCGACTAGAGCCCAATTTTTAAACTCTAGCCGGGTGCAATATAGGGCAAGTATTTAATCGTCAAACTCGGGTTGGTCCATGTACCGCTATGAAACGACCCGATCTTCTTCAAAAACCAAACCATAACTCAAACCAAAAACCGGTTACTCCAGAGCAACAAACCACATTTTAAAATAAACACACAGACATTATTTCAAGGTTTTAAACAAAAAGCCCCAACACTTGGGCAGAATCTCAATCTCGAACACTTAAAACAACTTAACACAGAATCTTGAACCTTGAATCTCCAGTACATAATCATAATCATAAAATAACTTTCAAATTTTAACTCTAACTCTTCACCCAGCTCCTTGACATCTCGCCAGTATTGGCACGGCCGCTCGCCTCATCTTACTTCTTCTCCGGATCCACTTTCGCTAACCCAACCTCAACCTGGTGAGTGAGAAGGGGTCAGTCTCGTCATCACTTTCTAAGGTCTATGCCCTTAGAAATCTCCTTACTAAGACACGTTATTAGCGTTTCTTTCCTTAGATGAAATTCGTTCTCACTATCATCCTTAATAACTCATTTCAACTTTAACTCATAGAGGTTCTCAACTCTTATCCTTAAATCATAGAAGTTCTCTACTTCTACCTTAACTTACCTATTTATTACTAGGGAATCACCGCGTTACGTATCGCCGTCCGGTGTCCCTATCCTCAAGACAATGGTACTGCGTTACGTATCGCCGTCCAGTCCATGCCCAGCCAACGACTGCATTACGTATCGCCGTCCAGTAGTGACCCGACCATCTACCGCGTCCAGCAGTGGCCCAACCGCCCGGGGGTTCATCTTACCATCAACCATACATCATAAACACACACATACCTAGCACAACGCGTGACTCCACCCTAAGTAGGCGGTGGGATGCCTCACACACAATCGCCCTTACTTTAAAATTAAATAACATAACGGAATTAAAAAGGCATAAACTGAAAGACCTCGACGGAGATTTTACCCCCTTTACACTCACCTCCAAAAGACGAACCTTCTTAATTGCCGGTTGATCCACGTCATCACTCGAACCTCCACGCTCCAACTCCTCGTGCTTTACCTCCTTTTGCATTTCCTCCTGTTAAGTATTTAGGCAAAACTTAACCCACGTATCTCTAAGCGTAACTGCCCAAACGACCTTCAATTTGGTTAATTCCAATCCCAAATTCCTCCATTTAATCTTTCCTAGGATTCCCCATAAAATTCTAGAAAATTACCTTTTTGCCACAAAATGGCAAATTACCAAAATGGTACCCAGAATTCCTGACCTTTACCACTTCGCCCCCCCCCCCCCCCAAACTTCATGAATTGTACAATTTAGTCCTCCAGGCCAATTTCCACTTTCTTATTTAACATTTTAGTCCAAACGACCTATTTCAATCCGGTACCCAAATATTTACCAATTATGAATTCATCCCTGTCATGGTAAATTACTGATTGACGCCCAAACTTCCTCAAAATTCCCAAACTACCCTTGTATCTAAAAAGATTTAATTGCCCTCTACTATTCATCTAATTTTAAAAACAATGCCACCAAACTCCAACAAAACGGGAGAACTTCGTCACCTCTACCTCGTTGCCATCGACCTCCAATTTTTCCTGTTTCCGGCTGCCATCGCCGTCTTCCTTCTCCCCATCTTCGAACCCACAAAAGTCACACTCCTCCAGTTCCTCTTCTTCTTCCCCAGATAGCAACTCCAAGGAAGTCACCGCCGCTATAGCTCCGCCGTCGTCGGTGGTAACTCGACCGCCCCTCCTCGGCCCACATTTTGGAGGGCAATGACGGGTTGCTGAAACTCCCTAGCGCTTTGGAGGGTAGACCCGCCTCCTCTCCATCGCCCCTGCATCTTTTCCCACGCCGCCGACGCCTGAATTGACGCCGAAATTTCTTGTCGCCGTTGCGTTCCCAGGAGCCACTTTCCTCCTCTTCCTGATCAATTCGACCCTTCCATCGCAATTCAGGTCAATCGTCGCCGGCCTGCCTCCTCTTTCTTTTCTTTGGCTTGTCCTCTGTTTTGTTTCCCGAAAAAAGAGAGGGCTCTTCCTCTCTTCTTAAGAAACGCCCTCACCATCCTATCTCTAATTAAATCGACCATTAATCCTAATTAAAATTCATTAGAAAATGCCTCCGTTACTTCACGATTTCCTGGCAAAATTGCAACCGTCGTTGGACTCTGCTCCGGTTTCCCTCGTCGGCGGCCATCCACGAGGAGACGAATCCTCTTCCTCCCCCTTCTGGTCCGCAGTCCAACCCTTCCTTCCCTCTTCTCTCTTGGGCCAAAACCGAGTCCATTCCTTTCCTCCTCTTTCCCCTGGGCCGCCGGGCCAAATCTTCTCTCTTTCTCTCTTCCTTTCATTCGGGCCAAAGCCCTTCTTCTTTCCTCTTCTTTCTTTTGGGTCGGCAGGCAAGCCACTCCTCCTCTCCTTCTCTCAACTCGGGCTAAGTCCAATCCTCACCAACCCTCTCTTCACAGCTCTCTTCTTCATTCAAGCTTAGCCCATTTCCTTTATTTCACCACTTACCTTTCCTCCAACCCAACACTCGGCCCACATCTGGATTCCCACACAATAAAAAGAACTCGGCCCAACTAACAGATGCCACCCAACCTAGATCCTTGATTGGGTCTTAAATCAAATCTCAATCTATGCTCGTAACTTCCTCGTTTTATATCAAAATTCAACACCGTTCGAACCGATAGTTCACACTGTTAATCCTCCTAGATATTACGGTGAAACTTGATAAATTTTATCCAAGGGTAAAATAGTCATTTTGACCCTTAGAAAGAGCGGGGTGTTAACTTTAATCGCTTAGGTTGTTATCTAGCAAAACGGTTTTGGGTTTAAAACTAAGAAAACTACAAATAAAACAAGAAAGTAAATCGAGATCATCCCAATGAGAGAAGAGTTCACTCAGTTATTGCTCCCCCTAGCTTACAATTACGACTTGCTGGATCGAATGGTCGTGTGTGGCGAGTGGGTTGTAAACCGTAGGGAAGTCTAACAAGTAGCCAAAGCTACCCTCTTAGTCTCTAGGTCGAGGAAAGGGGATACAATCCAAGCCACAAATGCGACTCTCTCAACCTATTGACTAAGAATTGGTTAGTCTTCTCCCTCGACTCAGAGTTCGGACGACCACCCACAACCAAACCATAGGTGTTAATACAAAATAGGAGGTTTTCCCTGCATTAACCTAACTAGGAGACAATGAATTGCCCAAGAAAACCCGACATTAAAGCCTCTTTCACAAAAAGAAAAGGGGGGTTTTCTCTCTGCCTAGGTTAGAATGGCAATTAGATTGATATGCTTTCACACAACACAATCATTCATGAATAATACCTCCACATTCACATTATACACAACGAAAACACAAATCATTCAATTCACACAAGCATTCACATCATTGTAGTTAGGGTTCACAACACCCAAGAGAATGGGAAGGCTATTCCATAGCTAGGCAAAGGAAAACAAGAAAGAGGAGAGAAAGAACCATGAAGAGATGACAATCTTCCTTCCTCCTTGTTTGAATCTCCCTTGAGAGGTAAGAATCTTCAATCCTATAGCTTAGGGCCAGCCCAAATCTCCTTCTTCCTCCTTTGAATGGCACTCTCTCTAGAATACGAAGAGGAAACCCTAATCTCGCACTAGAAACCCCCTTTTATTCTATACACTAAAAACCTACTAAAAGCTCTCCCCTCTCCTTCAGCTCCCTTCTCCTTTTATACCCAAATCGGACTCTGTTCACGGTCTAATACCTCAGTTGATGGCCACGTTGATCAGTTCATGGTCATAGACCTCAGTTCAAGGACGCGTTGATAAGTTCATGGTCTTAGACCTCAGTTCAAGGACGCGTTGATTAGTTCACGGTCTTAGACCTCAAAATACGTCCTTGAACACAGTGAGCTGGACCAAAATGCACCGCTTACGGTTTGTAGTTCCAGTTCATGGTCTTAGCGACCGTGAATAGCCTTAGCGTCAGTAACCTCGAAAACTCCTCTGGACGCATAACGATTCACGGTTGTGTTCGCAGTTCACGGTCCTAGTGAC